AACTCAAGAATAAGGAGGGTTGATGGAAGTTGGTTTGCAGCGGACAGGGATGCTGGAAGTTTTGGAAGGGCTTGGGTCGAGAAGGGGGTATCTCGAATCAGGGATATCTGGGATGAGTTCAGAGGGAACTGGATTCCGGACACAGAGTTAAAATCTGAGCTGGGGAACCTGAGACAGGTGGAAGAAAAAAGACAGGCTTTAATTGATGCTATACCGGATGCCTGGAAAGAAGTGTTAAGCCCAGAACGAATCGACCCTCCACCTTCATCTGTATGGCTAGCGTCAAGAGGTACGGAAGTTAACACCATTTGTGGGAGATGTCAGTGGGCCTACGAGTCAACAATCCACATTTGGTGGGACTGTCCGGCGTCGGCCCGAGTTTGGAAATGGTGGTCGGAACAGTGGGAGAGAATATCGAATAAGGCACTAGTATGGGATAAGTCCTGGGTTCTGTTGGGAGGGATTCCTGATAATCTGAGATTGGAGGAAGGCTGGGGAGGATATGACAGATAAAGAGCTTGTTAACAACTTCAAGTATCAAATCAGACTGGCTATTGCAGCAGATTGGAGAAGGAGGTGTCAAAGGAAAGCAGAGACAGATCCAGGGAGAAGATGGTTTAGTAGGACTTGGGGAATGGGGATAGTGGGACTTGGGGAATGGGGGATATGTTGGTAAAGAGTACCGAAGGGGGAAAGCTGCAGTTTGCAGACTGGTTACTCAAGTAGATAGACCAACCAGGGCACTCGGTTGTAATATCCACAGTAGGAGGCAAGTGGGACATAGGAGGTTCGAGAGGGCCCAGAAGTAGGCGGACCTTGGGTCCACGGTGCCCAATTAGGCAGGGTTTTTAGAATATTATAGGCTAGAATAGGTCTTGTCTTGTAGAAGATTCTGCACCCCTTTGTTTATGGTTGTGGCCCAGCAAGTCGAAAGACCTCTGGTCCCCCTTTTTATGTGTAGGCTTAAGATGTGGCTCAGCCAAGTGTTGTTGGGATTACCCCAACTTACCAATACTGGGTAATGGTCCCAGTCTGTGACAGTTCAGTTTCTGGGTTGTTTGTGAGGACTTCCCGGCCTCATGTGTTTTCATGATAATGGATTCCTATCCAGCGGCCTATCTCAGTTGGTAAGGCACGCAAGTGGTATTCAGGACGTCTTGGGTTCAATCCCCATTGGCCTCATGTACCTTCCTGGGCATGCTTGGCGCCTGCCACCTAGAGATAGCACGTTGGTCCCCCCAATTGGCATTAAAAAGCAGTCTCTGCTGATGTTCGTAGGGGGAGGGGTAATCGGGGAGGCACAGCGACTGGCCACTCAGATGATGCTCGGTCCCTCTGCCACCGGCTGTCCCCTGGCCGGTGTCCCCTGCTGGGGGTTCCCTGAAGGCAATCAAGGCCACCCTCGGCTGAAACGGCCACCCGATGTCAGATTAGACACAATATTGAGACACAATATTGAATCTACCTGGGCTGGTTAGTCCGATGATAATACCTCAAGGCCATCGCCCTTTTAAAAAAAGAAAAAGAAAAAAAAAATGGATTCCTTACTTTTTCCCAAAAAAAAAAAAAAAAAAAAAAAGGAAAGACAAAGCATCGTACTGCAATTATGGATCTTACTTCAAGTACGGCCAGACCTGGATGTATCTGACCGCAATTGCATCGAAAAGGTCCAATGTGAGTACGCCCTCACCGTCAGTCTGACTGTAAACCAGATCCGGGGCTAGGTCCCACTTACACGAATTAAACGATATTGACCGTAGATAGCAAAGATCAACGGCCAGATTCTCGTAGTCCGTGCAAGTGGGACGCTGCCCCCGTTTGCCTCCGCGCAGGGCTTCACCCTGTGTCATGGTCCAGAACAAAAAAACAAAATAAATAAAATAAACGCCGGTCCGACGGTGTGGGAGCATGACCGCGCGGCGGGTAGATGCCATTGAACGCGGGAGCGGCTCCGGCAGCGGAACAGTCGAGTCTGCCCTCCGAGGTGAGCAAGGCGCAGTGCTTATTTTTCGTCATTTTCCCAAAAAAAACAAATAAAATAATATATATACATATATATATCTAGAGTTTTCCATCTGGTGTGGGTGAGTGATAGTCTACTTTGATTTTGGTTAAGGTAGATTATCATTTACAGTGTAATCAGTGAGGGGATTCTGCAGACTGTTAGGGTTCAGCCTCCTGATGAGTCGGTGAAACTCCGACGAAACAGTTTGTCACAGCCCCTCGTTTGTTGTCCTCTTCTCTCTCTCTGCCTACGGTTTACCGGGCAGTTCTGTTTGTGAAGATATATATTTATTTTATTTTTCATTGTTTTCCCGAGTTTACCGAGCGTAAGATCCGCTTGCCTCATCGTATTTTCTTGTCGTTCCTCATGCGGTTCTTGTGGGATACTCACACAAGAACTTTTTTACTTATGGACGTAATTGCGGTCAGATGCATCCAGGTCTGGCCGTAATTGGAGTCGGATGCATTTTGAAAAGTGCTATGTAGTGTGAATATATCCCCTTGCCCGGGGTTTCGCCTCTCTCCTTGTGCCCCATTTCTACCTAGCATAGTACATATTACCCACTGCAACCATTACGACGACTCGTACTGCTGGTACGATGGTGTCTCTAGCACGACGAGCAGTTGTGTACGGGGCGGGGGAAGGTATCTATTTGGGGGAGGAAAGAACCTTGAAGCTATGGGGTTGCTAGCCAGCAAAGGAAATCTACCGTGAAGGATGCCGAGGAAATCGGCTATCGCTGCACCTAGCTGTAGGCGGCGATGGAGGCAGAGTGGATGAAGAGAGGCAGATCGACTCTGATGGGCGCCGGGGAAATTTAGCGATGGTGGCATGTAGCTATAGGCGGCAATGCAGGCGAAGTGGGTGAAGAGAGCGAGGTGTATGCAAGCGAAGAGGCGACAGATTCTTGATTTGCAGTGGGTTGCGTTGGGATTAACGAAAGCGGTAGAAGGGAGAAGGGTGAACATCGATCCTGGGGCGAAGGAGTCTCTTTTCGTGTGGGGAAGATGGGGCCAGTTTCGTCGGACTCCATAGCTATCGTGTCTTTTCGTGTGGGGAATGGGGGCAGTTTCGTCGGACTCCATAGCTATCGTGTCTTTTCGTGTGGGGAAGATGGGGGCAGTTTCATCGGACTCCATAGCTATCGTGCATAACTGCTGCATGAGGAGGACAGTTTTGTCCTGCGTTTTCGTTAAGGAGGCGTTGATCTGAACATGAGGGGGAACGCTACTCGTCTGAGACGTGACTCGGCTCGCGTGAATGACAGAAACGAGGGTGCCTCAGAGAGTCAGCAAGCAGTGCAGCTTGCATGGCGCTGGCCTGTGAGCTCCGAAGCTAGATCTCCTTCGAATATCCTCTCCACTCCCCTGCTACTGTCTTCTCGGATGCTCAAGTGACATACTGTAAGAGCTACATACACTGTAAGCAAAGGCTGGAGTAGCTATAGGCAAGCTGATCGATTCTTTGCCTGCATGTTTGTGTGTTGTATATGTGTGTGGGTGTGAGAGAGAGATAGACGCACAGATAGGTAGGTAGGTAGGTAGGTAGGTAGAGAGAGAGAGAGAGAGAGAGAGAGAGAGAGAGAGAGAGAGAGAGAGAGAGAGAGAGAGAGAGAGAG